CGTTGATCAAATGGTATAGGGTTTCCTGCCTGAGCAAGGGGTTGGACTAGATGACCTCCAAGGTCCCTTCCAAATAATAATAATAATAATAATAATAATAATAATAATAATAATAATAATAATAATAATAATAATAATAATAATAATTATTATTATTATTATTATTATTATTATTATTATTATTATTATTATTATTATTCCAGAGCTTACCCTCAAATCAGGAGAAAAGTTTTCGGTAGAGGTGGAGATAGAATCCGATGAGATGACCGAAGCTGATTTGGTATGTGCCGAGTGATCCGAATGAGAGGTAGAAGCACTAGAAAAACGAGAAGAAAAAAAGGAAAAATTCTAGAAACAACTGTTTGATTTTGTAGAGTTGCGTAGACCAAAAACAAAAAAACCAAACCCTTTATCGTCTTATCTTACCAGATTCAGGAACAAGCTTAAAGCTTTCACCTATGAGGATATGGAGAAATTCTCCTTGAAATGATAATCATTGGATAACAATAGCAGTAGCATTTAGGCTTATGTTGTTGTTAATTGCGAAGTTGTGTCAGACCCATCGCGACCACATGGACAATGTTCCTCCAGGTCTTCCTGTCCTCTACCATCTTCTGGAGTCCCTTTAAGCTCACGCCTACTGCTTCAGTGACTCCATCCACCCACCTCATTCTCTGTCGTCCCCTTCTTCTATTTGCCCTCAATCTTTCCCGGCATTAGGCTCTTCTCCAGTGAGTCCTTCCTTCTCATTAGGTGGCCAAAGTATTTGAGTTTCAACTTCAGGATCTGGCCTTCTAAAGCAGGGCTTTTCAACCTTTTCACCATTTGTACCACTTTTAGGATATGGCAATATCTGAGTACCACCAGTTGCCTAGCAAGGTGTCAAAAACTTGATGACAAAAAAAAGGAAAAAAGTGATAAAGTACAGGTAGTCCTCGACTTACAACAGTTTGCTTAGTGACTGTTTGAAGTTACAATGGCACTGAAAAAATTGGCCCCCCTAGGCACAGCCGACAAGACACCTGCCTGCCCGCCTGGCGGTGCTCTCATTCCCCTCCCCGTTACCACTTTTCTAGGATGGTCGCGTACCACCTGCCACGTGCCAATGTACCACAGGTGGTACCCGTACCACTGGTTGAAAAGCCCTGTTCTAAAGAGCAGTCGGGGTTGATCTCTTCTAGGACTGACCGGTTTGATCACCTTGCAGTCCAAGGGACTCAAAGGAGTCTTCTCCAGCACCATAGTTCAAAGGCCTCAATTCTTTATCACTCAGCCTTTCTTATGGTCCAACTTTCACATCCATATATTGCAACTTATATACTGGCTTATATACTGCCCTATAACTCTTTACACACTTTCTGGGCAGTTTACAATGTAGAAGCATTATTTGCATTTCCCCCCCCCCAAACAATCTGGGTCCTGGATGCAATTATGATACTCATTGGCCCAAACAAATCTCAACTGAACTGTCCTTTTCAAGCATACTGAATGAATTAATCTCTCATAAGCACAACCCAACCTGTAGTGAACTTCTTGTAGCAGTATCAGAATGGATTAGCTGATGGTCTTTGAGGTCCTGTCTAGATCTAATCATTAATCTCTTCCATGTCTGCTTACGTACCAGAAGAGATGTTGCTGAACTACAATTAGCAGTATCCTTCTTTACTCCCACCAGGGGGATGCTGTGACCGTCCTTAGTGTGAAAAACCATCACAAGTCCCTTTTTTCAGTGCCATTAAACGGTCAGTAAATGAATGGTTGTTAACTCGAGAACTACCTGTATTGCAAGTGAGTGAGCTTTTTCTAAAAACAACGTTTTTTAAAAAAAATTGGAAACCCTATAGGGATTTTTTTTTGCTGAAATAAGAGAAAAATGAACTGAATTGTGCATTTGAAGATTTAGAAAGATGAGGGTTAAAGGGTAAGGTGAGGGGATTTGCAAAATATTTAAGAGGCAGAAGGGACAATAATATTGTAATGATCTGTTGAAGGGTCAAAAGTCATTTATAATATTTAACTTGGGTGGGGGGGTTGCACATGTTTTGTTTTGTTTTTCTTCCTTTCTTTTGACTTGTCTTTTATTATATGGAAATTCTTAATAAATATAAATTTTAAAAAATTAAAATGTTCATTTTATGCTGCCCGTTGTCGTACAATAGTCTACAGTATTCCAAGAATTGCTCATATATGATTGGCTGTTCTTGTTTTTAATATCGGTGGCCGGGAAGAAAAGCCCAAGTTAAAAGTCAGTCTGTGTGAGTTGCTTAGTAAACAAAGCTCTGATTGTTGCCCTCCCAGAACAGAAGACTAACCAGTCATTGAAATTCAACACATGTTTCCTATGGAATAACCTTTGGTTGCTGTTGAATCATGCTATTCATGAGTCAAAACGGCCTAAACCCAGCCCTTTGGTACTGGCTGTTGAATTATATTCCCCTTAAAACCCCTCCTTTTCTTACAACATTGGGGAAAAAAGACGTGGCACTAACAAAATCTGATTAGAGCTTTAACTTGGAGAAGAATATACACAAAACAGAAGTTTAACTAAATTTAAGCAAGAATGCCTCCCCTGTATATTATAACTCATGCAGAAAGGGAAATACCTAGAGTAAGGTTTCTAAAGTCTGTGTTCATAATCACTATAAATCAGTTGGATTACAATGAAAGGGGAAGTCAGAAACCAGATAACTTATCTATGCTATTTTTAGTAGATATTTTTTCTCTATTTTGTTTTTCCTCTTTCCTTCCTTTTTTTTTTAGCATCTATAAATACCAACACAATGGATATTTTGGCTCTCAATTCCAAGTTTTATATGCCTTTTAGGCCGTAACAATGCACTTGTCTAGCATGGTCAATCTTGGATTAATGTTATATTGAGCATTAATTTTTGTCTTTTCAGCTATTAGGAAGCATGTTCCTATACCATATGGAATTGACATTATGCTTGAATTTACAGGTGGGAGCATAAGACTAAACTGCCTAAATGGATCTGATACTTTTTTTTTCTCCTTTTAAAATGAAAAGACAGAGATTTTGGCAGGGTGGAGGACAGAAAAGATTTTTTTTTTCTTGCCAACTGAATGTGTAAAATTGCCCGCTTTCGTGACCTGAGTTTTAGGATGTCTATTCCTCCTTTCCTCTTCATTGTGATTCTTTTTTTTTTTTTCCTTTTGGCTGGTTTTATATCATGAAAAATCACTTAGGGGGGGAAAAAAACCACCAATTTTTTTGAAGAGATTTCCAATTATTAGTTCTTAGTGCTACCACCTGGGGAGCATCCATCTTACAGGTTTGCGTTGGTTTAAGCTTTTAAAGGTAAATGACTTAATTTCTGGTTACTTGAACGCCTGCCTCTCTTCGTGGGAGGAATAAAATCGGTACAAAAGGCCTTGAAAATTCTGAAGGAGAGTGCGTTTTCTTTTTGGTGGGTATTCTCTTAAGAGTAGCATCAGTCCCTCAGAGTTGATTTTTCAATGGTGCAAAGATATGTTTGTATATTGCAATGATTAGTTTCGCCTAACCAGTCTCTGGCTGTTGTTGGATTATTAATTGTTTTGATCAATGTATTTGAACTGAAAAGGCAGGAGGAGCTCAGTCCCAACAAATATATAATAACAACGTATTCCATTGTTCCTTCCTTAATGTATTTTCTATGCTAAGCGAGATGATAGATAGACAGACAGACAGACAGACAGACAGACAGACAGACAGACAGACAGATGATAGGCAGACAGACAGAGATGATAAAGAATAGAGGATGGATGGATGGATGGATGGATGGATGGATAGAGACAGACAGACAGACAGATAGATAGATAGATAGATAGATAGAGAGAGAGAGAGAGAGAGAGAGAGAGAAAGAGAGAAAGAGAGAGAGAGAGAGAGAGAGAGAGAGAGAGAGAGAGAGAGAGAGAGAGAGAATAGATGGATGGATGGATGGATGGATGGATGGATAGATAGATAGATAGATAGATAGATAGATAGATAGATAGATAGATAGATAGATAGATAGATGATAGGTAGACAGACAGATAGATGATAGATAAAGAATAGAGGATGAATGGATGGATGGATGAATGGATGGATAGACATAGATAGATAGACAGACAGACAGACAGATAAAGAATAATAGAGGATAGATGGATAGATAGAGATAGATAGATAATAGATAAAGAATAGACAGACAGACAGACAGACAGACAGACAGACAGACAGACAGACAGATAGAGAATAGACAGCGGTAGTTCTTGATTTAAGAAGACAATTGGAACCAGAATTTCCATTACTAAGCCAGATAGTTGTGAAGTGAGTCACACCCAATTGTTACAACCTCCTTTGCCATAATCATTAAGTGAGCCACTGAATTTGTTAAAGTTGTTAAGGAAATCTGGTTCCCCCTATTGACTTTGTTTGCTGGAAACCAGCTGGGACGGTTTCAAATGGCAATCACATGATCCCACGACACTGCAACTGTCATAAAAACATGCCAGTTGCTAAGGTTTGGATTATGTGACCACGGGAATGCTGCAATGGTTGTAAATGCGAAGACTAAAACGAATCAAGATGGGAAAGTGCATCAGAAAATTCTCTTTTAGTGCAATTTATAGATAGTCCTCGACTTATGACCACAGTTGAGCCGAAAATTTCTGTTGCTCAATGAAACATTTGTTAAGTCAATTTTGCCCCACTTTATGACATTCCTTCTCACAGTTGTTAAGTGAATCACTGCAGCTGTTAAGTTAGTCACACGGTTGTTAAGTGACTCTGGCTTCCCCCATTGACTTCGCTCGTCAGAAGGTCACAAAAGGGGATCACGTGACCCCCGGGGGACCCTGGGACCATCATAAACATGAACCGGTTGTCAAGCATCCAAATTTTGTTACAAGGGTCGTAAGTGTGAAAAACGGTCATAATTCACTTTTTTTCTATGTCGTTGTAACTTTCAACAGTCATTAAATGAACTGTTGTAAGTCGAGGACTACCTGTAATTAGGTACAAATATCTCTCATTGGAAAGCTCAGGTTGGAAGGCAAGTTTCTAAGGCTCAGCACTGGCACGCTTGCATAAGAGAACATCTTAGATCAGATCTTCCTTATAGAACACTACGCTCTGTCCCAAAATAGAAATACAGATGGCTTGTTTTAAGCAACAATACCGCTTTCAAAACAAATACAGTATTCAGGTTTTATATATCGATTACATTCCAGGAGTGAAAGAAATCTTTCAACAAAATTAATGTAGACAGGTTAGAGCAGTGTTCCTCAACTGTGGCAACTTTTAAGGTGTGGACTTCAACTCCCAGAATTCCTTAGCCA